GTGCACTGTGCCAGGTTAGGACTGTGGAGCATATCAAGCTACTGAATTCTTATATCAATCCTGCAAGCCATACATTACCTAAGCATTGTGGTTGAGGAAAAGGTGTCTGTGTCAGAGCTCAACAGTCGGAGCTTCATCCATGGCTGCAGTAGAGCACCCTAGGTTTCTAGATACACCCTCCCTCTCCTTGAATGGCAGTTTAGTGTAGTGATGCTCTCTTCCACTGAGCTGGGCAGCCCGTTCAGAAAGAATGTTCTTTTGTTTTGTGCAAGTTACTGTGTGCCAGCTGTCCCCAGGCCTCAGCCAGAAGCTGTACCTTGTGCCTGCCTTCTCAGAGGCACTAGAATTTGTCTCTGTTCTGTTTGTAATGCACACAGGGATGGGCTATTAATCATGCTGCAGGCCGGCGGCTCAGCACCGCTGAAATAATGAATTGCCCAACTCCTGCCAAAATGAGTCACACAATGGTCATGAAGGAAACTGATCTCTGCCTCACTCTCCTGTCGTGTTCTCCTCTCTTCCCTGGCCATCTCCAGTGATCTGTCTTGCCAGGAGTAATGGGAGCCCCCTCTCCTTTGTTTAAGCTCTGAAGTGTCTTTGGGATTCACTAATTTATCCAAAGGTTGAACAGGGCCTGTCAGGGACAGTTATAGCTTCCCAACACAGGCAGTTAAGCAGAGCTTACAAACAGCTTTGGGAATATATGACCAAGAATTTAAGAATATAAATATTTCCCTTTGGAAAATGGGATAACTCCAGTTCAAAATGATACTGACAATAACATGAAATAAAGTCTTCAACAAGCAATAGTCATGTGACTGGCCTGGTAATATGACTAGCCAAGGATGCACAGGCTCTTTGGATGGTATGATAGGGGCTTTGATTGAAAAAGGTATTTTTAAGAAGGCTACCAAAGAGAGACATCTTTTCTTTACTAACCATCCCTGCTTCCTGTGGTACAACTCCAAGAGGGCCTCGCAGGAGAGACCTTCTGTTTCCTACAGTCAAACTCTTTCTCTTTTCCCTCCTACTATTGCTGTGTAGATAATACATATATGTATACATACTACATGTACATACATACACATCTATCTACCTCTATATATAATCTATATATACACACACACATACACATGCATGCATGTGTACACATGTACACAAACATAAACATACATATATACACATATACACATACATGAGATCATTTGCAAATACCTTTGGCTGGAATCATGCTTATTCCATCACCAGAAATCTAGCGTCATGCGGTCCAGAGCTGATTTGATGGGCATTGATAACTTCAGAAACTCTGCCTCCTGCTCTCTGCGCCGGCACCATTCATCAGCTGGCATATTGCCTCAGGTTGCAAGATGGATGTTATAACTCCAGACACCATGTTTTTATTCAAGACACTAAGAAGTTGAAAGGAGCTTACAAGAACACCAGCTGCGTTAGCTTCCTATTTTGGGAAAAACACAAGCGCCTGGCTTTGTTTGCGTATGTCTCGTTGGTCATAGCTCTGGTCACAAATCTAATTCACTGGTGGGGTGCCAGGATAAGCAAGTGCAGCTTTGGGGTACTGTGAAATGGAGGTAGCAGTGGGAGTGGGGTTCAGGTTAGCCAACAAATGATGTCTGCCACAGTGGCACGGAGGGAAACCATGACAACCAAACAGGGAGGCCAAGAACCGCACCCAGCAGTACAGGCAAAGAAATCCATATGCTTGAGGCCCGTGGGCACCAGGCTTCGTGCTAGGCAGCGCTCCTGAAAACAAGCATGCCACCAGCACCTCCTGTGCCATTGAGAAAGCTAAGCTGGGCAGCATTCTGCAAGTCACTAAATCAGGAGCATGGACTGTGTCTGGCTGTGTCTGCTTTGAAAGCCTGCTCTCCCTACCAGGCTACATTTCCTCTGGGAAGCTAAGGTTGCCTTGGTAGCATAGGAATGGGTCCTCGCTGAATCTCTGCTCCTTTGTTTTGGCAACACCTCAGTCACCTGTGGACAGAGAATCAGGGACAATGATTTGTGGGTTGCTGACTTAAAGTAAAGACGAATACTCACGACCTGCACTGCAATCAGTTAAAGGAGAAATGGGAATGGCCGTGGGAGAGCCAGCGCCATTTTCTGTGTGGCCTCTGTGATCTGGGGGGAGATCTGTGAAGGCAGCGGGCAGCCTGGACCATCGCCCCTCGCTCATTCATTCAGCACATCTGTAATAACAGCCTACTGTGTACCAGTACTGTTCAGTCACCAAAACAAAGACCTGTGACACAAGGGCTTATTGTCCCCTCTTCCCCCATCTCTCCTCCCTCCCTCTGTCTCCCCACCCCTCTCTCCTTCTCCCTCTCTCCCTGAACCCCGCCTCGAGCTGAGGCAAAGAGTGTAAAGAACACAGACCGCACTGAACCAGTGATGTGTCAATAGACAGCATGGCGAGAGCCATCACCTGTGTGAGGGGCTAACATGAGAAAAGGCCAGTGGTTGGCACAGCACAGGAAGCTGCTGGGATCCAGACTTCTTCAGGTGGGGGAGGAGACAGGAGAGGCCAACTTGCACATCCCCGAGGATCGGCCCTCTTTGCCATGTACCTCTCCCTCCACGTAGGGAAGTTTGAACAGAAACTCAGGCAGAAGTGAGCCTGGTTGCAGTGCGTTTTCTCCCTGTCTAAAGCTTGGCCTGGAGCCTCTCAGCTTGGTGCCATCATTTCTCTTCAAACGTGTGAACTGTCACACCAGCTCAAAACTCACTGGGTCTGACGGCCATTTCAGTCCACCCCTGACATGGCAGTTGGCAGCAGAGAGCCTGCCTTCCGAATGCTACAGAAATGCTCTGTTCATAGGCTATTGGGAAGCTGCTAGAGGAAATATCAAGTCCTGAGGACACTGGAATATTATCAAAACGGCACAGGGACCTCTGATGCTGACCCTCAACTTCCGGCTCTTTTCCCTGTTTCCTGCCTGATACATCCTGTACAGGGAGGGACCTGTTCTCTCATGTTCCCACACAGCTATCTTGGTCTGCCAACTGTAAATGCAGGTACAAGAGAGCTGTGTTCTCATCTTTGACATGTTCCACTCCTGAGCCAACACAAGAAACAGTCCTTTGATGGATGCACACGTACTGCGTGTGAGGAATGTGTTGTCTGGAGCTTTGGAAGAAATCCAGAGAGCAGAGAGAGAGGACAGCAGTTGACTTCCCGCGCCGTTGTGTTGGCATCTTCGCCCAGTGCCTTACTGTCCCCATTGCTACCTGCTCTAAGTTGATGGCACTCTGGGTGACAGGCTAGGCACCCAGTATATCCCTTTGTATCTTGTAAGGAACTCTCCTCAAATACTGAGCAGGCTGCCAGTCATTCACAGGCTACTGAGAAATTCCATTTGAGGGAATGACTCAGCATGTAGTCCATGGCTCCCTTCCAATTATACCCTTTTTCTCCCACCTTCTTGTGCCCTTGACATTTGTTTGGTGGGGATAGCAAGGAAGCTTCACTTTGATCTCTATAATTTGAGTAAAGTTACAGGGGAGAGTTTTGAATAATGTGCGTGAAACTCCTAAAAACCTGGGAGTGAGATGGCTGATGATATTGGAATGTAGTCCCTGAACTGGACCTATATTAGGTGTTCTTCCCCATTGGCTGAGTGGAGGGAACAGCAAGCATCCTTCTGGGCTATCTCATTGGTTTCCTCCATGTCTTGATGACATCAGCCATGCCATACTTACAGATCACCTCACCTGGATAGAGAGACCTGGAGATTCCATCCTGTAAAGCAGGGAGTCTTGACCATGGAAAACTGATTAGAACATGACAGTCAGTCCAAACATAAGAAGGCAGGTTAGGACTTAAGACCTGTCTGCCATGGCAGTGTGTAAGGGAATGGAGAACATCTGGTCGACTGTGCTGCAATGGACGCGCACGTCCCCATCAGAATATCCCATCCTCTTCCTATCACAGTAAAGGATAGGTTGTTGTGCAATAAACAGATTGGATGCGATTAATACCTACTAAATTCGCCACCAGTTCTACCTGTTGGTATTTATTCAGAAGTCATAAAAGCTTGTACCCAAGACCTAGACACCAAGGTTTGCAAGCATTTTGTATAGAACAGCCCAAACTGGAAACACTCCAAATATCTCTCAGCAACTGAGATCAAACTCCAGCACATCCACTTAATAGAATACTACTAAATGACAAAAAAGTCAGGAAGTATCAACACATGATCCAACAAGGAGGGCCTTCAAGAATGCTATCATAGGTAGGGGAAAGGCCACCTACTGTTTTGGTCCTTTTCGATAAATTTAGAAGATGTAGTCCACAGTGACAGAACAGATGGGTAAGTTACCCAGAGAGTGGGAAGAGAGATGGGAAAGAAGGGGAGACATATGAGGGGGAGTGTGGTCCTCTGGAGGTGAGGTTTGCTGCCTTGATTGTGAGGGTGTGGTCACAGGAGTGCCATACCTCATCAAATGGCATACGTCATACATGTGCAGCTTACTATGTAGCAGTTAGAGCTCAATAAAAACAGTGAAAGAAAAAAATATTTGAGACAGGAAAGTAGACGGGGGACTATTTGGGAGAAGGGAGAGGACTGAAAGTATGGAAGGGGAAGAGAGAGGGGGTGGAAGAGAGATAGGAGGGAAGGACATGCTAGGCAGATGCAATAGTAACATGAAGACCATTATTTCACCCAAGTCAAAAAAATTGCAAACAGCAACATTTCATATGGTTCCACTGACATGTAAATATCACTAATAAATTAACTTTTAAAAACCTTATGTATTTTTTATACGTTTATTGGAAACATACCATATGCCAGGCACCAGGAAAAGTATGCGCACTGAAAAGTGAGTATGATTCCTCTGGCTCTGCAGCTGGATGGGGAATAAGTTTGTAAATAGACAAGGGATTGACTGCCCCACAGCAGTTCCACAGTAATTACCAGGCTTAACCGACTGTCCTCTGTTGATTGAATTTGTGTGTGTATCTGTGCTTTCTCGTTTTGCAGAGTGACTTGTGGTCTTTGGGAATCACCGCCATTGAGATGGCAGAAGGCGCGCCCCGTAAGTTCCTTCCCGGGTAAAACGTGCTGCGGGCTGCTTCTGTGGGTCCTGCGGGCTCCTGCCAGGGCTACGCTTGGTCTCCTTCTGCTACACTGAGCCCGGCATGGGTCTGATGTGGCATATTTAGAAAGCAGAGGCATCTTAAATCAACCAGGAATCTGTTGGTTTCAGAGCAGTGTGTGGATCTGTGTTTTGCTGAGAAAGAAGAAAGCAAACTTTGGGGGGTCTTTCTTTCTCACCCACTTACTGTGTGGCTCATTCTTGTGGTCCTCTGCCTCATGCAGAATTGGAGCAGCCACAGACAATGTCAACTCCCGTGTACAGAACTCCAAAGCTGAATTCCTGGGTGCAGCTTTCAAAAATACCCAAACTCAGAGGCTGCCTCTCTTCTGAGAATATTAGTATTTAAGATATCCCTGCCCTTAGGAGCAGTATCTCAGATGCTTGCAAACTTGAGACACCCCCCCCCCAGTCCCCTGAGACTTTAAGCACTAGCATCATAGAAGACCTCTGGCAGCTGTTGTGGTGGCCTGGGGGACTGAGACTGGACCTCCCAGACCTCCCCAACTCTCCCTATCAGTGCCAACCTCAGTAGAGACACCAGCACACCCTTTCCTGAGAGAGGTGGATTCACTTTGCAAGCTGCTGTGGTTCAAGCATCACCCTAACACCTAGCTGACCCAGCCTGGGGGACTACAGGACAGTCTAGGACCCACCTTCCCTCCAGCACCCAGGGCTAGAATTGCGTAACAGTGGCATGACTCTTTGCTGGCTCTTCTCTGTCTCACTCAGACAGGAATTGCCCCAGTTGTGTCCTTGTGTATGCGTTCACACGCCTCCACACCTTCTCATCCACTTCTCACAGGACCAGGGCTCAAAAGACCTGCAAGGACCTTCATGACAGTTCATTCTTAGACTTGGGACTCTTGAGTCATCATTGCCCTCTTATTTTTCTTAAGTTCCTTGAATCCATGTGTGGCATGATTGACTTGGAGTGTTTGTTGACAAAATTTCCTTTGTTCACAATGACATTTTTGAAATCAGAAAATTCAGATACCACAGTGTTAAAACTGTGTTATCATCCTGAGTGGTAGACAAGACTAAAAATAAACTCTACCCACAGAATCCTCTGGCATCGAGGGAGCATATATTCTCAATCTTGGTACCAAGAAAAAAAATGTATTCTCACTGTTAGAAAGTAAGCAATAAGATATGTGGATTGAAATAAGAATGTAGAGTGTGTTCATGATACATGATTGCATCATGTCTATAAGCTGACTTCACCCCCTAGTCATCCTGGGGTCGGAGGGTTTAGAAAACAAGGCACACCACGCAACCTGAAAGGCTGCTAGGGACATTTGGTGTCCTGGCAGAGTACCAAAAAGCCTAGAAATGTGCATAGACAGCAGTGTGTGCATAAGCCTCCAATGGGGAAAGCAGAGCTGTGGATGCTCAGATGCCTCTTAGAGTGCGGCTTAGGCTTTTGTTAAAGAACGTCACCTCAGCCACACCAATCCCAGCTGTCACCATGCTGTTTGTTTTGAATGGCAGTGGCTACTTACACAGGAGATGGCTAGTTGTTGGCCCTTTAACTTATTTTCCTTATGACATGAAGATATGGCCCCTAGGAATGTTAGTATCTGTTTGAAATGTGCATTTTATGAGATTCATCTAATTAGACATCAGCTCTTTGAAATGTTTGCCGAACAGAAGCTTCCGGATCTTTTACTCCTTACTTGCAAGCACCTTATGGACATGTGTACATGTGTGTAGCATTTCTGTATAGCCAGGATGGTAGTTGGCTTGGCTTCTGACTGGCTCTGGTCCTTGTTTTTGGTCTCCCACAGCCCTCTGTGACATGCATCCCATGAGAGCCCTCTTCCTCATCCCCCGGAACCCAGCGCCTCGCCTCAAGTCTAAGAAGTGGTAAGTTTGCCCTTCAGTATTTTGCAGATCTGAGGGTAAAGCTTTCCTGTGATCTTTCATTTGTCTTTCGTGTGTGTGTGTGTGTGTGTGTGTGTGTGTGTGTGTGTGTGTGTGTACATGTGTCTGCAGATGCACATTTGTGTGCTTCAGTGCAGAGGCCGGGTTTGACCTCAGTTATCTTTTACAGTTGCTTCCCTACCTTAGTTTTATGGACAGGGTGTTTCATTAAACCCAGAGGTCACTAATTTGTCTAGACTGGATGGCCAGTGAGCCCCAGCAAACCGACTGCCTCAATTTCCATAGCCCTGGGATTACAGGCACATGCTACCACGCCTGACTTTATGTGAGTGCTGGGGATCTGAACTTGGGTCCTTGTGCTTGCATGATGAGCACTGTACTGACTGAGCCATCTGCCCAGCCACTCTATGATCTTCTTTTGAATTACTTCAGATCTCTCCCTGGGTTCTTCTGGCTAGATTGAAAGAATGCATACCACAGCTTGTAGGTGACATTCTGTATGCTACCATTCATCTTGGACTCGCAGCTTCGTTACCTGCTGTCTGGACAGCAAGTTGTTAACCCTATCCTCTAGGCAAAGAGCTATTAGCCAAAATAGAGCCCAAGTAATGGCACGGAAACACTGTGATTTATGGCTGCGGTGTGTTCTCCCGACTGCATGGCACATCTCATCAGAGACAGTGATGATTTAGAGTCAGCCCATTAGATTGGCTGGCTTCTACTCCTCAAGACAGTGGTTCCCTGTGTGCCCACACAGACCTGCTAATGGTCCATGTGATGTCTCTGGCTTGGGAAATCGTGGTTCTTTGTGGAGTTATTTTTAGTCCCTTTCTCTTTATGACAGGGCATTCTGGTTTCCTATTTTGGGGAGAACAGTATAACCTTTGTTCTTAATAAACTAATCCTGACAAAAAGGTGACTTGTTCTAAAGGGAGCTACTCCATGCATACTGTCATGAGGAGGCATGATGGGAATGTGGATGGTGAACGCCCAGGTGAGGTTTGGAAACGGAGTCCTCAGGTTATGTCATATGCTGTCCGTCACTCTCATGTGTAGTTTTATCATGGTCTTTATGTCAGTTTCCCATGTTTCCCCTTCCCTGCTACAGAAGTGGCATGACCTCCTGATACATTCTTATATCTCTGGTTCCTCCTGCATTAGAGTTAATCCCTGCCCACCTGTGACCTCCTACTGTTTTTCCCCTAGACATAAGTCCTGGGTAGTCCAACTACAAAGGAGCAAGCCATTTGTCCCTTTTCATGACTGAAGGCTCAGGCCCTTGCCTGGCGTCCTGTTTCCCACCCACAGGTCCACACCCACCACCGAGAGCAGGTTTAACTAGTACAATCAGCTGATAATGCCATAGCAGCCCTGGCTAACAGAGGAAAGGTGTTACACAGAGAGGAAGGAAGCAGCAAAGCCACAGCAACGGCAGTCTCTACGCTGCCAGACCTGCCAGGGGGTGTGGGTTGCTACTGGTAACCGGAGGCGAAGCTTCCCTGCTCTCCTGCCTCTCAGAGGGTCACTGTGGTACCAGAAGTGTTCTCTCCCCAGCAACAGCCTTTCATTGGGCACCAGAGAGCATGTGCACAGGAGGGTCCTTCCTCTCCTGAGATTTCTTCTCCCTCCGCCCTGGATCTGACTCCTGGAGAGGGGAGTCAGCTCCGTTCCCTCCCCTGGAAGCGACAGTGACATTGCAAAGCCTGCTGCCTGCCAGATTGTGGCTTGGAATGTGCCAAGCTCCCCAGGAGAGCCTGCTGTATGACATGGGTCTCATTTCCTGTCCCCTGTGTGGGAGCCTCCTCCTGTCACTTCTGGGGAGATATTGTGAGCTCTTCCACAGAGGAACAAGCTGGTCGTCCAGGCATATCATCTAAGAGACTGCATCGGTCACTTTGTCATTTCCTGACAGAACACCTGACAAAAACTTACAATTAGAGAAGGGAAACAGTCCATCATGGCAGAGAAATTAAGGCGGTGGGGACGTGACGCAGTTATCACACTATGTGAGGGCTGAATACGGCTATTCAGCTGTTTTCTTCCTCCTTCCTTTTGATTCAGACAGAGATCCAATCTGTGCACAGTCAAGATAGATCTTCCCTCCTAGATTGAGCCTATCATCTGGCCACACCCTTACTACCACACTCAGATGTGTGTCTCCCAGGTGATTGCAAGTCTAATCGAGTTGGCAATAAAGATGAGCCATCACAAGTTCACCCCTTGTCAACATATCACTTTAAACTATAACATTCCACTCCTGGGCCTCAAAGGCTCATCATCATCTCATGAGGCAAAGTGTATTTAGTTCATCAATAAGAGTTCCCCAAATCTTAACAGTTTGAAATCAAATTGCTCAAAAGTCTGGAGTCTCTTGTGATACCCACATCAGTCTCTTAATTGTGAAGACCTGTAAAGTTAAAAACCAAGTCACATCTTTCCAATTTACAATAGCACAAACTAATCATTTTCATTCCAAGAGGAATGGAATATGGGCACAGAAAGGAAAAGCAGGACACAAGCTGGGTCTGTGCCCAGCGTGGGAAAGGAAAAACAACATCCTGCAGTTCCTTTTCAAGCGTCTCATGCTCCTAGTAATGTCATCTGGTCTCTGCTGGTCTTGCCTCTCCTGCTCTGCCTCTAGCACACATAGCCTCTCTTAGAACGGCTCCACTCCATGCCTGTGACTTTCCTCATTGGACATCCCACAAGCCTGACTCTCTAATATCCTGAGCAACACCTCACTTCACAGCCCTATGCCATGGCTCATGGAACCTCCTTGAAGGAACTCTGACTCTGCCACTCACTGTCCGACCTCAGGAGCTTTTGCAAGTCCTCCCTGCCCACAGTGAGCTGGGTCCTCTCATATCAATCACTAACCAAAAAGGTACTCCCACAGACTTGCCTGCAGGCCAATATGATAGAGGCATTTCTCAGCTGAAGATAGCTATTCACAAATGACTCTGGCTTGTGTCAAGTTGTCAAAAAAAACTAGCCACCCCTAACCCCCATTAATTTTCAAAGCTCTATGCCTGCTGTCAGGCACTTTTGTTTTGAGAAAGGACAAAGGTGTGTGTGTGTGTGTGTGTGTGTGTGTGTGTGTGTGTGTGTGTGTGTGTGTGTGTGTATGGTGTGTGTGCTTGTGTATATGTGTGTTCCAGATAAAATTATGATGACATAAAGTAGATGTCACAAAATATTTGAAATAAATTGAAATTGCTAGTTTGTACTGTGACTGCACACTTCATCAAAATCAAAACCCAAACTGGAACACAGGCTTTGGAAATTAACCTTTTCTGTTCAGTTTTCCCAAATCAAATACATCTAGAGCAAGTCCCTTAATGAGCAAGCATTGTGCAGTCACACGCTCTATAACATGTTGGTTAACAATGCACTAGGCCACCTGATGACTCTGGAGCTACCTCAGCTAAGCAGATATGTTCTGTTATAGTCCCACAATGATAAAACCATCTTCCAAACATCTCCCTGTCACTCAACAGTGCTCCGTGGGGCCCATTTTATTCAACAGAAGCGGGGACTGGTAAGCCATGTCTCATTTCTGTGTCGCAGTCCTTAGGAAAGAATTTTCTCTTCCTTGAGTCCAGTGATGATCAGAGAATGGTCAGATGCCAGTGCTAATCAAGAGAGGCATTTTAAAGGAATTCACTTATTTAATCACTGCAGTGGTATTTTGAGATAAGTTCTGTGGATGTCTGTATTTGCAGACGGGGAAAGTTGAGTCATTTGTCCTGAGCCATACAGCAAGTGATGAAGCCCAAGGCAGAGAAAGGGGGTAGTGAGAACTAGCACAGAGCCATGCAGATTTTCAAGACTGAAATTGCCAATATGGATGTGATGACTATTGAAAGCATCCAGCCCTCCAGATTACAATGGCTAATGTAAGCAACTTCAGTGTATAACCAGCGTGACTCTGTTGAACGTCAGGCTGTGAGCACCAAACCCCAGCATTCCCTCTCCATCCGAAAGCATCCATCACTCCTGAGCATCAATCCTTGACATTTGCCACTGCATCCAACTCTTGGCAAGGCTGTATTGCTAACCTTCCTGCAAGCTGTTCTCTTTTTTTTTCCTAAGAGACAAAGCTAAGCTACCAGCAGTACCATAAATTTACTTTGAACCGATTGTAACACCCAGCGAGCAGGTAGGTATTCAACACCCGTGAAGTACTTTCACTTGTAATTAACTGTGCAATTAAACATATTGATTCCTTGGTCACACTAACTTAGAAAATAAGTGACCACTTCTTTGAAGACGTGGGAGTTTTGTTTTGTTTTTGTTTTGTGGAGACAGGGTTCCACTGTGTAGTCCAGGTTGTCTTCAGATGCATTATATAACCTATAGCCTCAAACTCATGGTTATCCTCCTGCCTCAGCCTTCCAGGTTGCTGGGATTATGGGAATGTGCCAACACACTTGGCTTGAGGATATGTTTTAAGTGAGCCACATTTTCTCTTCAAATGATGCCTGTGCAAAAGATATAGACACATCAGCTGCTTTACAGAGCTCTCTACCCTGTCTCTGTCCTTCGGATGCCAAGCCATTCTCTTGGAGTCCTTCCCTCCAGCAGAGCCCTGCAGAGGGAACTCTCACAGCTGGTTCCATTAATGGAACACAGTTCTGCCTGGAGATCTGGAGGGTTTTCTGGCTTTTTTTTTTTTTGGTTGTTTTATTTTCAGATGTCAGTGTCAGAGAAAGGAATGCACAGTCTATTGAGGTCTGGATCTCATTTTTCAAATTGGTTGTGATTGCTTTTATTTATCACCCTCTAATTAATAGAGGAGCGCTTTACAATAAAAAACCAGCACTTCTTCCTAGCTGCCAGTGAGAGAACTACTGTTTCGTTCCTTGTGAATATTTAATAGCTCTCGGTCATGAGTTGTGTTGTTTTCATCCTTTTAATGCTGGTTTTCCTCCCCAGAGCGGCTCTGTGTGGGGTCCGCCAGGTTTGCTGCTGCCTTTTGAGGTTGTTAGAGCTTCCAGTTTGTTCCTTAGATGAGTCTGTTCTTCAGTATTTTTTTTATTTTATTGATCTGGGATAGAAAACCATACTACTCCTTACAACCAATCTCTCTCTCTCTCTCTCTCTCTCTCTCTCTCTCTCTCTGTGTGTGTGTGTGTGTGTGTGTGTGTGTCCATCTCTCTGTTTCTCTACATGTCTTACTGTCTCTCTCAGTGTCTGTATTTCTGTGTGTGTGTGTGTGTGTGTGTGTGTGTGTGTGTGTGTGTGTGTGTGTTGTATATGAATGTGGACAGGGGCACATGCACATTTGTGCACACGTTTGGAAGCCAAAAAGCAGCGTCAGGTGACTACCTCAATCACTTTCCGTTTCACATTTGAGACTGTCTCTCACAGAACCTGGAACTTTCTGGTAGGCTAGATGAGCTGGCCAGTTAGCTCTGAGGCTCTGCCTCTCCTGTCCCCACTTCCCAACACAGGGATGGTAGGTGTACACTGGCATGCTGGCTATGTACATGAATGCTAGAGGTTCAAATTCAGGTCCTCATGCTTGCACAGCAAGAACGTTGTCCACTGAGCCACCTCCCCGGCCCCAAGACCTCCCTTTCCATTCCTCACAAGCACAGACTGGAATGGAGCCAGACCGCAGCTGGAATCAGTGTGTGCATCCATCCATTCACCAGACATAGTGCAGGTAGTATGCTCACGATATGACTTGGGCATTTCCTGACACCTCTGGAAACCTCCGGGAAGGAAGACATCACAAGCAGGTACACAGCTCTTCTGTCATATTTCTAGACCATGGTATAGCCAACCCTAATTCACCTGTGGGCGAGGCAGTGGCTAAGGATGCTGCATTGCTTTTAGATATATGCAAGATACTTTCAAGCTCATGCATAGTATAGAAATGTAGGAAGAAAATTTATTACTTGAGAAACATGGAATAAGCTAAAAAATTGCTTGGGTGTGGGCAGAAGCAGAGAGTACCCTATATGTGTTTACTCTGGCATTATTTTCTATGCATATAGTATATATTTATTTATTCTGTGTGTGCGCATGTACATGTAAGTGCATGTGTGCACACGTGTGTGTGTGTGTGTCTGTGGGTGTCTGTGTGTGTGTGTGTGTGTGTGTGTGTGTGTGTGTGTGTGTGTGTGTGTCTGTGTGTGTGTGTATGGTCAAGCACATACCACAATGCATATGTGGAGGTCAGGGGACAATTTTCAGGAGTTGGTTCTCTCCTTCAACATTGTTGATGCAGGATTTCTCCTGGTGCTTCTGGCTTGATATTCTTCTTCTCCTTCTCCTCCTCCTTTTTCCTCTTCTATCTGCTCTGGGAAAGCTGGACCCTCAGCTTCAGGGGACATCTTTTAGGTCTCCACCTCCCACTGCCCCCCTTACTCGAGGATGCAGATAACAGCTGCTCACCATCCATCAGGCTTTAGCTGCTGCGCCCTCTCCACCCCGTCTCTTGCACTTGGATGCTGGAGGACATGCTGCATGTGGTATTCTATGTGCTGAAGATGCTTCTTGAGCCTGAAATACATACATTCTGGCAAGTGTTCCTATTGGAGAATTGAGAAAGCCATCCTTCAGGGATCCACAGTGCAGCCACAGAAGGGCAACAGAGAGCCAAAAACGGCTCCCTCCTGAGTTAGGCAAGGTGCTCGGGGGCCAGGGGTTCCACTGAGATCTCAGGGGAGATACACTGAGCTGTCTGTGGACAGCTCCCAAGGCACTCTGGGAAGCTGTGAACTAATTACTTCTGACTCTGGATAACTCCTTGGAACTTTCGTCAAGAACACACATGCCCCACCCATAAATCCTGGCTAATGTCCGCAGTAACTTCTGCTGCACTGTGACCTGCTGCCCTGATCACTGATGTGGTAGCTGCCTCCAGGGATTCCCTGCTCCCAGACCTTTCTAGCACAGAATTTATCTAGGAGGAAACTGGGGCTTTCAAGGGGGGCATAAATGAAATGCCTGTGTGCTTCCAAAAGAGGTCATTTCCCCTTCATTCCTCCAGTCTCCTGTGTAAGGCTGTGTTCCCTGTGTGAAAATGTCCCCATGCATATGATAACTACCATATGTTACCTTATGTAAATGTTGATTGTGATTTGACCTTTGAACTTCATTGTATTGATACTGATTTGCGATTGGTTGGTCCCTGTGCTTACAGGATGGACTTTTTTTTTTCTTTATAAGGCCATATTTCAAAAGCTGTATTAGATTTTCTCTTATGCTGTCATTTTATTTGTGAATTCATCTCTTTTGTTTGGCAGGTCAAAAAAATTCCAATCGTTTATTGAGAGCTGCTTGGTAAAGAATCACAGCCAGCGACCAGCCACCGAGCAATTGATGAAGCATCCATTCATACGAGACCAACCTAACGAGAGACAGGTCCGAATTCAGCTGAAGGACCACATCGACAGAACCAAGAAGAAGCGAGGAGAAAAGGGTCAGTTGCACATTTGTACTTCGGAGAAGGAAACAGAAGGCAGAGTATTATGGTCTCGTGTGAGGGCTGCCTGTTAGGTCACAGCCTTGGGCATCAGTGGAGTGGAATCACCGTTGAAGGCGAATGGAAAAAATAGATCTGTAAGCAACAGGCCCTTTCTAGGCACCAAACAAAGCCATGTTGAGTGAGACTAGGAAGCACTTTAAATGACAAGTGATTTGTCTTAATTCAAATGAATATTCACATTTCTGAGAGTGACATCCACATGTCAGACAACCTACAGAACTCATCTAGTTGACATTTTTCTGTATTGACAGTCTTCAGCATTTATGTTTCTATGCCCCGAGACTTGTTTCTAATTCAGTTATATAGAATTCAGAAAAGAATTCCTTACGGTGTCCGTAATAGAAAGGCTCATTAGCTTGCCAGGCTAGCAGCATGGCATCAGCTTTTGTGTGGAAGGTCCTCGAGTGCACTTCTTTATTTTGTAGATGCACAGATTCTTCTCCATAGTCCTCTCTGTGTCATGGAAAGTACAGGAGCCCAGCTTTGAGACCCTGGGACCATGCCCAAGTTGTTGGAGTGGTGGCTTACAGTTGCATGTTCTGGTGCAGGCCTCATTTCCAGTGGAGCATAAGGCAGGGAGGAAGGGAGGTGTGGGCATGACAAGGAGGACTAAGATAAGCAGGAAGAACTCACTCTCGGGGGAGCAGGAGGCTCTAGGAGTGAGAGGCAGTTTCAGGATAGAAGATACCCATTGAGAGTGTATGAGGGAAGACAGAGCAGAAGGCCAGAGGCTAGAGTAGGTGGGAGTGGTTTTCCTTGACTCCCTCTTCTCGCCCCCTCCCCTGTCCTTAGTATAAAGGGCAGCAGAAAGTAGCAGACAACACAGAGAACAGGTTTTTGAAGTATAACCTGATGATTCTCTGGATTTCCTCATTGTCTGTTGTTATGTCTCCCTTTTCATTTCTGATTTTGTTGATTTGGATGATCTCTCTCTGCCTTTTAGTTAATTTGGATAAGGGATTGTCTATCTGCATGGCGAGAGAGTTGTATATCTTGATCTGCTTGGGGGGCCCCTGGCGGTAGGATTAGAATCCATCCCTAGTGCATGAGTAGCTTTTTGGAGCCCACTACCTATGATGGGACACCCTTGCAGCCTTGAGACAGGGAAGGGCTTGGACTTGCCTCTACTGGATGTGCCTCCCCATGGGAGGCCTTGCCTTCTTGTGGGGGGAAATGGGGGGTAGGTTGAGAGTGGGGAGGCTGGGGGGCAGGAGGAGGGAAGAGGGGGATCTTTGGTGTGTAAAATGAATGAAAACAAATTTCTTAATAGAAAAAAATTGCTCTTCCCCTACATCCTCTCTAACAATTGCTGTCATACTTCTTAGCAATAGCCATTCTGACCTGGGTGAGGCAGGATTTCAAAGTAGTTTAATTCCATTTCCCTGATGACTGGGGATATTAAACATTTCTTAAAAATTAAAAAAAAATTAAATATTTATTTTATTTGTGTGTGAGTGTTCTGCCTTCATGTATGTATGTACACCACTAATGTATATGGTACCCACAGAGGCTAGAAGAGAGCTCGTGTTACAGATGCTTATCGGCACCACGTGAGTGCTGGGAATCAACCTGGTCCTCTAGAAGGTGGTCTTGACTGCCAAGCCACCTCTCCAGCTCCAGTCTCTTTTTTTTAACCTTTTCCATTAGATCTCTTTATGAGTAGCTTTTGGCAGAATTGAAGAGTTTTATTTTTTATGGTTTTATATAATCCTGTAGTGCAAAGGCAATCAAGCTTGGTTCTGATAAAATATTAACACCAAGGAGACTGACAGGTTAAAGTTTTGCTTTAGGAACTAGAAGCAATTGGAATAACTGTGTGCTTCTTTTGTTCACTGTAGTTTCCTTTATTAGGTAAAAAGTTCTACGTGTTATTTTGAACTCTCTGCTTTTCCCTTTTGAGAACACATCATTTTGGTATGAGTTATAGACACTCCATTGCAGATTCTTTACATTTGGTGAAAGCGTTCTTTTAAAATAGGTAGCCTGAAAAGTTCCTGCTCATCTAAATATATGAGGCTTACTTGTGATTTTACAAAATACACTTGAACTCCTCACACTAGTATCTACATAGTTTTGTTTTTTTTTTTTAAGCCAATCTGCTTTTCTCATTGGGAATACTGCCTCCTAATGAAAATAAAGCAAAATTGCAATTTCAGTCCAGTTGACGGGTGCACAAATGTCTTCAGGCTAGTAATTAATAACTCATAGCTATAAAGAAGTGACAGTCCTGTGTCGTTGTCTTTTGTTTCAAAGGCCTCTCATCCCCTATAGAAAAGTACTGAGCAGAGCACAGCCAGGGATCCAGGAGTCACTGTACCCCCTCATGGCCTTAGCCTCCCCATCTAGGAGTTACTGTACCCCTGATGGCCTTGGTCTAATCATTCAGGAGTCACTGTACCCCTGATGGCCTTGGCCTCATCATCTAGGAATCCCTGTATTTCTGGTGGCCTTGGTCTCACCATGTGGGAGTCACTGTAGCCCTGGTGGCCTTTGTCTCACCATGTGGGAGTCACTGTACCCCTGGTGGCCTTGGTCTCACCATGTGGGAGTCACTGTAGCCCTGGTGGCCTTTGTCTTGGCATCTGCTTTTCCACATCCAGACACCCAGCTTCTCTGGACTCACTGCTTCTCGAGCATGTAACATGGCCAGCCACGATGGAGGCCTATCATTCACAGTGACATTGTCCCATCCTTTCAGCTGCTGCCAGCTAAAGGGCCACCTCCAAGGCCCAGCTTCTTACCTCCTCAGCGGTTCACTACTCCTACCCTTCCATTCTGAGCAAGAGGAGACAGCTGCTCCCTACTCTCACTTCTCACTGCCTTGTGTGTGCTTCTGCTCGGGATGGAATATGTTGGGGGAGACACTGATTTTCACATTGAAACATCTCAATGCTGATTCTAAATATACCTCCCAGATTGATCTTTTATTAATATGAAGCCATTACTAGTTTGTAATCTGACTACCTCCCTTATTTTAGAGATAATTATCATAAGTAAATGAGAGAACAAATCTAAAATATTTAACACTAGTTGCTCACATGTGAGATGCCTACTAAACATTCATTTCCTTTCTTCATAACCATGGAAATGACAATCATACATTCCATTTGTGTCTTTCTCATTGTATTTTGATCATGTCTAAAGCAAATATTCAATCTTACTATTACACATTAACTTGTTTATTATTTTTACTGAAGTAAATGAATAATAAATAATGAATCAATCACATTTACCTATTCTTTTTTGTTAAACCAAGAGTGGGGTTAAACTTGGGACTACCTGCACATCACATGTTCTAGGCTTTTAGTATAGATTAGTGTAGAGATCGTGTGTTTCTATCAAGTAGTACATATTGTACATGCTACTGAGCAGTGTACTCCGTGTGCTGGCATAATCATACCAGCCCTGCCATAGACAGGTGAATCATGCATTGCTCTGTGGAGTTAGCATCAGTGTGACTAGGTAGGGAGAATTTTCAGCTCCATTGTCTTATGGGATTGGGGCTACTGATGAGGTCCACTGACCACAGTTCTGTGGCTCATGAAAGTTTATGAAGCAGAGAGGTGGTCTTTTCTGAACAGCAGCACCATGGTCTACACTAACATTCTGTGATCTCTCTCCAGATGAGACCGAGTACGAATACAGCGGAAGTGAGGAAGAAGAGGAAGAGAATGACTCTGGGGAGCCCAGGTATGAGCAAGAAGGCTAGGCCTTCCCACTGCCAGTCTGGACTGGGCTTGCTCAAAATGCGCTTCCCTTTTGATTTATTGCTCTGTTTTGAAGAATGCACCAGGAGTTAATGCATTGCCCACATACATACTCATTAATGTGTGAAATTTCCCTTAGGCAGACTCTTATAAAAAGTGTGGAATTCAGCATATTCTTTATCTTGTCCACCAAGATGTATGGCCTGTATTCATGACCTTGTTTCCTCACACATGTAGATATAGAGTGGGAAGGAAGCAATTATCTGGCTAATGCAGTGCTAAAAATGTTTAAAATTGCAGCTTTGGGGAGAGTTAGTGACATTTCAGATTGGAGTCATTCAGCTTCTTGTTCATCCCTCTGGGAAGCCCTGTCAGGTGGCCACGGTCCTGCCATGTGCCTCGATGTTTCACACAGACCAACCCTGGAGGAGGTGATTCTAGAAAATCAAATTGTCCTCCAGCGGTGAACCCTGATAGAAATGTTCACACCGTTCCTGTTGTCCCCACGGAACCCGGTGCTCTTCAATGTTGTCGTCTCCACATTTGGAGACTGGCGTGGCTTTGACCCCAGCTTTCTTCCCATCTGTATTTATGGGCAATTGAGGCTGATGTGCTTGTGGTGCTGGGACTGCAGCTCTGTGCATGGACCTCAGCTCTGTGCACCCCGTGGACACGCACTGTTAATTGTGGAGAGAATGCACAAGCGGAAAGGTACTGGGCATTATGGGTCCATGTCCTCCAGCACTCCAGGGTATCCAGCCCTCATATGGCAGCACAAGGACCAATTGCTATCTCACTGGCACAGTGTCCTGGTTTGCTGAGGGACCATGCTGTAGGAATAAGCTAAACACCACATTTTCATCTTCCTTCCTTCCTTTCTTCTTTCCTTCCTTCGTGTGTGTGTGTGTGTGTGTGTGTGTGTGTGTGTGTGTGTGTGTGTGTAGCACATGTGTATACACGTGGAGACTATCCTACTTTGCAGTATTATTGCTGTGATTAAAACACTGACCAAAAGCAGCTTGGAGAGGAAAGGGTCTATTCTGTCTTGCAGATTGTAGTCCATTGTGGAGGGAAGTCAAACCTAAGGGCAGGAACTGAAGCAGAGACTGTGGAGAAATGCTGCTTCCTGGCATACTCCCCATGGCTTGCTCCCCATGGCTTGCTCAGTCTGCTTTCTTACACAACCTAGGACCACCTGCCCACAGTGGGCACTAATCCCCCACAGACATGCCTAATGGTCAGTCTCATAGTGACAATTTTTCAGCTGAGGTTCCCTTTTCCCAGGTGATCCTAATTTGTGTCAAATTGACAAAAATTAACCAGTATAGACTTTAAAGGACAACCTCAGCTATCATTCATCAAGCACTATCTTGTTAGTATGTATTTTTATTGAAAATGTATTTTTTCATATGTTATATTCTGATCACAGTTTCCATTCCCAAACTCCTTCCAGATCCTCCCGATTCACCCAACTCCATGCCCTTTCTTTCTCTTTCTCTCCTTAGAAAACAAACAGGCAAGCAAAAACAACAACCACAAAAACATAATAAAAAGAAAAGAGCTCAAGAAACACACAAAAAACCCATAAAAGCACAAAATCAGAAACCATAATATACAAGCAAAAGGTCATTAAGACAAAAGAATATGAGACAACAAGTCTAAATAAGTTCCATTGAGTTCAACTTTGTGTTCTGAAACGAGGGCTCCCACGGGCCTGGTACTCGCTGATTAGGCTAGGCCAGCTTCCCGGTGAGCTCCTAGGAGCCTACTGTCTCCACCTTCCAGCACTGAGATTACAAGCATCTGCTACCACACCAGCTCTTTTACCTGAGCTCTGGAGATCAAATTGAGGTTCACACTTGCAAGGCAAATGCTTTACTGATGAGCTTTCTTTCCAGCCTCTTGTTCTCTTCCTAAGCCAGCAGTTCTCAACTTATGAGTCGCAACCCCTTCGGTGGCCGCATTTCAGATACCCTATACACCAAGTATTTACATTCCAATTCATAACAGTAGCAAAATTACAGTTATGAAGTGGCAAAGAAACAATTTCATGGTTGGGGGTCAGCACCACATGAGGAGTTGTATTAGGGTAGCAGCATTAGGAAGGCAGAGAACCACTGTTTGAAGTCAACATCTCCTGACAAGCTTGGTTCTTGCTAAACTACCCAGGAGGTTGGGACTGAGCTCACAGGACATTAGTTTTTCTCTCTTATCTGCCACAGGCATTCCCAAGGTTAAAGACTGAAGGAGAACTTTTTCTTCCATCAAAACATGTTGGCTGCCCCCACTTAGCTGCATAAAGACAATGGCTGTCGAACAGTGACGTACAAAATGAACATTTCTTTGGAGCAAAGGACCCTGTTCCCTGCTCACAGAGAAGCCACACTCTGCTCCCAGCCCGGAAGGCTGTGTCAGGCCTCTGACTGTTCTTTGAAGAACTGAGAAATCCAGTCTTCCCAAGACTTTCTGTGTGTCAGGGGTCACTTGGTGAGACACCAGCTGTAATTATAACATGTCATTATGTCACGGGAAGATGATGCACCAAGTCTCACTGTTTGAACAAGTCTAATTAGTCTTCTTGAAATCCTAAAATGTAGAAAAAGATGATGGTTGTCTCATTTTAGACATGAGACAACAGCTCGAGGATGTCACCAGGTCATACACAGAGTTAGTAATTGAGTCATTAGTACAACCAAGGTCTCCTGGTATTAGTTCAGTTCAGTTAAGATTAATGGGGCGTCCTCATGGGCGTGTGACATTGGGTCCCCAACCTCATCACCTTTGCTCAGAGCATGTGACTTGTGCGTACAAGCACCACCATTTCCAAGTTGTTTTAGAGTTTGACACAGAGACAGCAAGTTGTAGAGGGGTTCACAGGAGACTCCTAAACTGCCTGTGGAATGTCCTCAGTGAAGCTCTTGGCCTTGTCTATAGCAAGATCTCACACAGACTCTAGTAACTCACCAAAACCAAACTGATACACTTGTCAACTGCCAACAATCTGCCCCTCATCCTGACACCCTCACTCCATGTCTTGTCACACTGTCACCAGCAGCCCAAATGAAACTGCACATCATCCCTCACCCTGCACATTAGATCTTTCCATGGGCTTCATTAATTCCATGCCCAAACACTTCTCTGAGACTCACCCCACTGCTCCTTGCTGGGTCAAGTCTCTACCATGACACACCATTAGCTAATGTGCTCTCCCATACCATGCAGACGACCGTCCACTGTCAAAACAGTGGATCCGCTCACGTCATGACTCAGCCGACAGCCTTTGTAGACATGGATCCCATGGCCACGTACTTCCCTGACGGCCTGTCTCTGATCACTCTTGGCTCACACTCCTTCTCGCTGCCTCTGCCCCTGAGGGCAGGCCAGAGAGCGGCTCGAGGACCAAACCAGCCTGTTCCCACCAAGGACCAAATTTGCTTCCCCTTCTGCCTGGAGCAGCCTCCCTCTCCATCAGCTCTCACCTCCCTGGAATGGTCCTCCTGACAGCCCCATTGAGAACAGAGCCCTAACCCTTATCTTACTCAGCTCCTCGCCACTGTAAATGTTAACCCTTCTGTCTTAGGTAGGGTTCCTGTTGCTGCGAAGAGACACCATGACCATGACAACTCTGATAAAGAAAACATGTAATTGAGGTGGCTTACAGTTTCAGAGGTTTTAGCCCATTATCCTCATGGTGACATGGTGACATGCAGACAGACATGGTGCTGGAGCAGGAGCTGAGAGTCCTACATCTTGTGCAGGCAACAGGAAGTGGTCTGTCTCACTGGGTGTAGCTTGAGCACAGGAGACCTCAAAGCCTACCTGCACAGTGACACGCTTCCTCCAATAAGGCCACACTTACTCCGACAAGGCCACACCTCCCCATTATTGCCACTCCCATTGGGGGCCATAGTCTTTCAAACCACCATAACTTTAAAGTACAATGTCTGTCTTTTCTATGGCTATTGTATATTTTATGTCTAATAATTTGCCTATCTTTCTCACAAGAAGGTAACTCTAGGAGAACGTGTTTATCTGCTACAGGGGTTTTCTGAATTCTTACCTTCTCAGAGGAAAGGATTCAGTAGAAAAACACAGTTCAGGCAGAAGTTTACTTGACAAAACAAAGCAAACAGTCTGAAGAGAGTTTGGAGTGGCTGTCCCAAAGGGGTTTGTGGCACTGTAGGTTCTGTCTTATGGATATTAAAGAACTTCTTAGAAATATCTATGAGGGAGATAGTATATTCATGGGGTAAAGTGAGGCTTTTTTATTCTCAAATCATGGTGGACCAAGTCTTCCTTTTAGGGTATTTCTTTCTACAATTCTCTAGGAAACCTCATTATGGGGATATCAAAAGCATAATGTAAATGACATTATACTGAGGCTGAGGTCTTTGAGGGTGCAGACCCTTTGCTATTGCATATGGCTGGGAAAATTCCTTGGCACCTTAATTTTGGATATTGCAGTTCAATCTGTCAGCAGTCTGGAGGGCATTCAACCTCAAAGAGGCACTCTGATCCTCATATGCCTAAGATATTGGTGAGTGGTAGTGGGTTTTTTGGAGTAGGGGCATGTTCATGTCAGTACATATGTGTGTGCAGTTATGGGTGGGGTGGATATCTCAACCATAGGCGCCATCCTCCAGAAGTCAACCTTGCCTTTTTGAGACAAGGTTCCTTTTGACCTGGGGCTTGCACAGTAGGCTAAACTAGCTGGCAAATGAACTTCAGAACCCCACCTGTTTACATCTCCCCAGCACTGGGATCATAAATGCACACCACCACACCCAGCATTTCATGTGCACTCTGGGACTCAGACTCTGGTCCTCAAATTTGTGTGGCAAGCACTTGACCAAGTGAGCTATTGCCATATCCCAAGCTATGGTGTTTTGGGTTCCCTCATATCTAGCTCCTTTTGGAGACTAATCAGGATCCATTATTGGATTGCTCATAGTGTTGGCCAGTTAAGATGTGAGGCTGATTCTGAAAAGCTGGGGCCTGGGTTTCACAATAGCAGTTAAACAAACAAGAATGGGAATGGGCTGCCATTCAGAACTCCCTCCTCTGAGCTCCAACCCCCATTTCTATTTCCTACCTAATATCTAGCGGGTGTGATCTCCCTACAGCCTGTCCTAATATCTGTTACATAGCAGAAACAAGGAATTATTTGTCCAATGAGTTTATTTTTCACCAAAATTTAAGGCAGTGGTTCTTGGCCTTCCTAATGCTGCAACCCTTTACCAGAGTTCCTCATGCTGTGGTGACCCCCACCATGAAGTTATTTTCATTGCTACTTCATAACTATAATTTTGCCACTGTTACGAATCATAATGTAAATACCTGATATGCAGTATATCTGATATGCAACCCCATGAAAGGGTCATTTGTCCCCCAAAGGGGTGGTGACCCACGGGTGGAGAACCACTGATTTAATGGGGTAGGTTTAAATAAACCTATGGGAGCCATCCTCATCTCCCTGATAGATGGCCGTGAAGAACCAGAGGTCATAACTTTCTGTTGGTCACCTGCAGTTAGATTGGCGTTGGGAAGTCTGGAACCACCAGTAATAATGCTGCAGTTTATGTCCTCTGTGCGCACGTGCACACACACACACACACACACACACACACACACACACACACGCTTAAATATACTATGTTAAACATAACCTAGGACTTGGTCTCCTCAGGTACAGTCATCCCAAGTATGTGCTTTGTGGCTAGAACGATGCCCTTGCACAGGGATATGTTTAGACAAGCCCTGGGCGCCATGGGCTGCACAAACTTGGCCTGAGACCGTGGCTCATTGTCAGCCTTGTCTTAAGCCCTGTTTCTCCTGGTCCATTTGCTCTTGCCCTGAGCAGCGGGACCTCTGCCTATCAGGCCTTGGGATGAGCTGTCAAGGAGGTGCCTATGAGGGCATCTGCTCCTGTGAATAGAATAAGACCCCTCTTACTCTACTGCTCTCTCACTCTGTGTGTATGTGTGTGTGTGTGTGTGTGTGTGTGTGTGTGTGTGTGTGTGCGCGCGCACATCTGCACATGTGTGCACGAGTATGTACATGCACATGTATTTGTGGTGTGCTGCATTGTGTGTGTATGCATGCATGTGTGCACAGCATGCACGTGTCTAAAGGTCAGAGGACAACCCCTGCTCTTGGTCTTTCCTTCCCATCTTGGAGACAGAGTCTCTTGTTGTTGGTAGCTATGTACACCAGGCTAGCTGGCCTCCAAACTTCTGGAATCCTCCTCTCTCTGTCTCACATCTTCCCAAAGGATTCAAGTGCTACAGACTCATGTGCTATTGTATCCAGCTTTTCTTGTGGGCTCTGGGAATATGAATTGAGGCTTATGCTGGTGTAGCAAGCTCTTTAACCACTGAACCATCCCCATAGTCCGTGCTAGCTATTCTTATGTGTAGAGATAAGCTGGCCTATGGTTTAGAGCTTGCACACTCATTCAAGCCTTATGACACACATCTTTGCCATGCACTGGGGATGGAGTGGTGTGGACAGTCCTAGAAAAGGGTGTGATATTCCTTTAGGACAGCATATGTATGGGATAGTCATCTGGAAAGGGGGGCAAAGCCTGTTCTCTTGCACTCACCCCAGGACGCACAGTTGCAATGGCCCTCATCACACATGGTACCCTAATGTTCTCTCCTGTCCACAGCTCCATTCTGAACCTGCCAGGAGAGTCGACGCTGCGACGAGACTTCCTGCGACTGCAGCTGGCCAACAAGGAGCGCTCAGAGGCCCTGCGGCGCCAGCAGCTCGAGCAGCAGCAGCGGGAGAATGAGGAACACAAGCGGCAGCTGCTGGCGGAGCGCCAGAAGCGCATTGAGGAGCAGAAGGAGCAGAGGCGGAGGCTGGAGGAGGTGAGTACCAACAGGGCCACCACAGCCACCTCAGGGTTGGCACCACCTGCCCGGTGCTCATGCTTTTCAGCCCCATCTTACAAAATACACTTCCCTCACTCTCCGAACGGGGCCACGGCTTCCACCCTCCACACATCTACCCCTCCTAGGCGTTCCTTGACCATCTTATTAAGATACCACCCCTCTCCTTGCTAGCATATTCTACTGCTTATCTCTATTGGCATGGCTCTGACCAACTTCAGACACTCTATATGTGGTTCCAGCTCCCCACTGGAAAGGACGTGGGCTTCTTTTCTCCCCTGGCCTTCTCTAGTGCCTAAAAGAGCATGTCACATACACTAGACACTCGGGAATGTTTGTGGAATGAGTAAATTAACATGCAAATTAGTGAGGCAAAGGCTGAGAGGTGAAAAACAAGCACTAACTAAGCCACAGTGGACAGGCCGGTCGCCACATGCCCAGGAAAACCAGACCCTTCTTCGGATGCTCTTCTGACACCAGGAGCCATGTTCCTCACGCTTCTTCCTGCCCAGGACACTTCCTGCAGCTGGCAGACGTGATCTGCTTTCAGCAGCAGATGCTGCTGTCCTCTGGACAGGAAACCTCATCACTGATCATGGGCTCTTGGATGTTACGTCCCACACAAGGTTCTCACCCTTGTAAACTATAGATCTTTGTTTAATCCTTTTTCCTGGAACTTCATCCACATCTCCAAGCATCCCTCCTTCTGCCAGATAAATGAGAGCCTCCAGGTCAGTAAGAAACTGAGATTGTTTAGTCATTGGGGAAACTGGGAGGCAAATGAGAAGGTCCACAACTGTATGGGAGCAGGGTGGTAATGTTAGGGCTCTCCCAAATTCCAGTCTACCCCTTGCTCATGGGTTCCTTGATTTTGCTTTTTAAAATGGCCCACTAGAGAGTGAGAGGTTGGGGGCTACAGGATCAGATCACCTTTTTAACAGCCCATCATGGTTCTGATTCCCTCATTTAAGTCTCTGAGGACCTCAGGTCACTTTTCAGTAAATCCTGGCAACCTCATTAAGACCCTGGGACATTATTTTCAGACCTTCAACAGTAATCCTCTACATTTACAATGATTTGTTTATTGAGTGACTTCTATGTGCAAGTTACCATGCGGGGAGTTGTGGAATCAGATGTGGAATCCTATATATCATTTTCTCTCAGGAAGTGAATTTTCTGTCTTTATTTTTCATTTTTCCTTCTCTTGTACCTGCTATGAGATATCTGAGATTTCTACTTTTATTTATCAAGTGACTAAGTGACAATTTCTAGTGATTGTGAAGAACTGACCACATGACATTTAACAAGGAGACAATGAGGAGTGAATATGAGCAAAATACATGATATGTGCATATAAAATGCTGTAATGAAAACCAGTATTTTGTGTGCATACTTTTTAAGCTTTGAAAATTAAAAAGAAAAGAAATGGAAAGCAAAGAGGACAGTGAGTGAAGAGGGTCAGTAACTGCGAAACAAGGTGCATGCTGGTCTCTCCGATCCCAGTGTCCATGTGAGGGTTCCGAGACAGGTGTGAATCGGAGCCTTGAGTGCTGATCCTCGGAGGCGGACTTTGAGACCTTCTGTGAACAGCAATCAGGACATAATGTGCTTTCCAATCTGTGTGTAAGTTAGGACACTCGTGTAAAGATACCCACCACGTGAGAGGTGTAAAGTCCCTGCTCTCTTCTCTTCTGAGTGTGGTGGACGGAGGCCCCGTGGTAGGGCATAGGTAAAGTGAACATGTAAGGTATAGAAGTGACCTCTGGTTACCCCCTGGGGCACAGACCGAGAGTCTTAGATTCTGGCAGCTGTGCTGAGCTACCACTGCCTGCAGCCTGCCCAGGCCACCCACGGCTCTTAGACTGGCCCCCAGCCAAGGGCCACAGTTTCCTTAATCTCTCAGACCTCTGGAACACCATAGACTCTGCTCCTTGGACTTAAAGACCTCCGCCTTCTGGGTGGATCAAACCCTCTACTGAACTGCTCCCTGAACATTGTCTGGCCTGTTTTTCTTGGTGGGGCATTTCCAGGTTCCCGCTTCCCGGGTATCACAGTCTCCACTACTTCAGCTCCATTTGGTTACTGGTTCATTATCATTGGTTTCAGGCTAAAAGCGCTGGCCAGGGAGCCCTGGACAATCTACACTACCAAGCTCATGAGCATTTAAAATTCACAGGATTCTCACCATGTGAAGAGCAGATGTGACCTTCACGTTTTTAAAATGTTGGTGTGTCTGTATATGTTCATATGGATGTTCACATGGGAGTACACATGCTCATGTGTGCATGTCTGTACAGGTCAGGATGCAACCTCAAATGGCGTTCTTCAGGTGCTGCCCATCTTTTCTCTGGTGATGGGTTCTCTCACAGGCCTGAAACTTGCTAAGTAGGTAGGCCAGCTGGCCAGAAAGCCCAGGACCTTCCTGTCTCCACCCACCTAGTGCTGGCTTGACGAATACACACCAAGACTCCCAACGTTTTTTATTTGGGTTCTGGGGACTGAACCCATGTTCTCTTCCTTGTAGACAAGCACTTTCCTCGCTGAGCTGCCTCTCCAAACCCACTTTGTTTGTTTGTCACATGAACTCTGGGCTGCTAGACCCAAGTTCTTAGTCAGTATGAAGTCTTCCCAGAGGGCAGCTCCAAGCTAAATCATGTGTCATGTTCGGGGGCTTCGCTACAGAGTCTATGCTTCATGACACTGTTTTATATCCTAGTCCTGGCTTGTAGCTCTGTGGTAGTTTGCCTTGCACAGCTGATGATCTCTGGGCCAAGGCAAAGCAGCTGTGCTGAGCAGGTGTTCAGCATTGAACTAGGTTCTCCTTCACACACCAGGCCAGTGCTACTGCAAGGCCTCCTCTGTGTTCTTCAGTGGCATTTATGGGCACTTCTTCCATGGGTGTGAGGAAGGCACTGTGCACAGAGAGACCCCCTGAGCTCCATGGCCTGAGTGGAAGGTGTCCGCACGCCTGAGGGCTGAACCTCCTGCTCTGCGATGGTGAGTGGGAACCAGGCTTCTCGGAAGAATCGGGAGCACGTGGATTTGGTCAGTTACACTGGCTTTATCTTTGTGGACCTTTCTCTTGCCCTGGGTGTGTCCAACCAGCCACCCACAGACAGGCACATGAGGCCACATGCATCCCAGAATTGCTATGAATGTGGCCCAGTCAACTTACTTAAAGCACCCTCAGTTTGTGTGTGTGTTTTGTGACTCTGTTGTGGTGTCGTCAGGAATAAACCTTCAGATGTCAATGCCATGTCCTAATGTTAAATGCTATAGCTTAAGGGAGGAAAGCAGATTGTCACATAATGGGTTGACTGTAAGTACTGAACCTGGACCACAACAATCCTTGCTCCCAGAGAGTCCCCTCCTGTATCCCTATCCTTATCTGCCAGCCTAGCCTGCGGTAAACACTTGTGTCTCTGGTGACCAGCACAGGAACTTGGGCTGCATGGGCACATAGAAACTGTGTAGTTCTGCTGGAGAATTTAGCTTCCTTTGGTCATATGGGCTTTTGTGGGCATGCTGGGAATTATATTCCCAATTCTGAATAAAGGCCTCCTGGCTGCCTACCTGGTATCACAGGAATGATGGGCTGGAGCTCTCATATTTGGTGACCTCAGATGTCAGCTCCCACCAGGGGTCCCTAAGGACACTTTATGTGCCCTTTGCTTTTGTTCTGTGCCTGCATGCATATGGCTAGGATCTAATCAGTGTTGGTAATTCTCAGAAGGACTTTGACTATAGCTGAACATAGTCATGGATCTGCTTAGACAAGGGGCATGGCCTGTGGCTGATTAAATGGTGGTAACCAGACCAATTTTGACCGGTGATACAGTAAAATACATAAGTAAGTTCCAGGAACTTGCTGAAACTCAGCCAAGGTGAGTCAGTTCATCACCAGTGACAAAACTACACAGGGATCCTCTCCTATTTTTTTCCGGCTCCATAAGCGTTTTTATTACTCAGCTGGGACAGACCTCCCCTTGGCACTGTGCATCAGAGCAAGCCGGCCCCCGGAAGTGCTGTGGCCCTGCTCTGGAACAGACTAATGAATTTGGATCAGGTCCCTGGCACTGATTGATCTTGCATAGGAATTTTTGAAAAGACCAGTGGTTTCTCTCAACTTGCCATCATATTAATGGGAAAATTTAAGAGTCAATATGTAGGAGCCACATATTGAAGCTCGCCTTCAGACAATGAAGTAGAAGACTTTTGAGAAGGATGCAGTATTTTAGTCAACAATATCCACTAAAAGAACCAGATGTGATGGCCCACATCTGTAATCTCAGTATTTGGGAGTCAGAGACAGGAGGATTGCTATGAGTTCAAGGCCAGCCTAGGATGCATTTCAAGACCCTATCTCAAAAACAAAACACAAATGAATCAGCCCCAGCCCCTCGTGCTGCCAAAACCAGGATCCTGGCTTTCCTTTTTTACTGTGTGACTCTGAGTGCATTCATTAGCATTCCTCTGCCTCAGTTTCCACACTTCTAAAACTCAGGGTAACAATAGCATCATGTGCAGCTATTAACCAAGCAATTCCCAGAAACCTCCAGCATATCGCCAACATGTGACGTTCCGGGGACAGTAACTGTTGCTGTTCTGACTAAGGCCAGGGGGGAATTTTCAACGTTGGAGCTTCTTCCTGTACACAGCGAAACCTGGAGTTTATGAAAAGAAATGTGCCAGAAGGCAAGCACCTTCTCACACTTTGGAATGAACACTTGTTACAACACCCACTCAGAATGTGGTGGGAAGGGAAAACAGTCTGGTAGGTGAGTGCGAGAGTAAACTACACCAGCTTTGTAGGCCAGGAGGCCAGGTTTAATTCCAGCTCTGTGGTCTTGGGAAGTTACTTAACCTCTGTGAACCTCAGCTTCTTTACCTCAGCATAGTTACATTGACTTCGGAGGATCACTGTGGGAACAATGTGAAAAACACGCCTCACACAAGACATAGGTTAAGATTTTTGTACG